CATGTGCTTTCTCTCTGGGCCCCTCAGAGCACAGCCTGGGGGTGGGAGATATCTGAGTGCAGAACTGGGTTTGCCCTGTACAATCCCGGGGATCAGTGGACCCCACACACACACGCATGCACCCCTGTACCATAAGGGGATAGGAGAAGCAGTAACACCCTTCTGAACTTGATGTTGACTTTCACATGCCTCACCTGGGCCTGGGGGGCCTTCTTAGGGCTGGGGGGGGCCTTATCTGGCCGAGGGAAGTTGTCCCTGCACCCCTCGCCTGCTGCGGGCGGGGCACCCGGGGCCTTAACTGCTCATCTGCCCTCTGTTGGGCTCTGACACCAAAGGTTCACCCTGGGCTGAACTAAGCAGATGGCTTGGCTGATGGAGGCCCTGCCACTGAGACGCCCTCAGGGAGAGAAGCCAGGGCAGGGGATGGACGGAAGACGCCGCCAGGACCCAGTGAGTGTCCCCTCTGGCCAGGACTCTGCTGGGGCCTCATGTGCTTGTTCTGACTTGGACCCCATTCCAGCCCCTCGAGGAAGAGGAATGGAAGGAGGGAGCAGACGACCACTGGCTCAGTGTCACCACCGTGGAGGCAGGGAAGCGGGTTTGTACTAAGGAGAGTGCAAGCTGCTTCTCTGCTCTATTCTAAGGGGAAGCAGTTGCATCAGGAAGCCTTGGTTCCTGCTCCCCCAGGCGGGGTCCCTGGCTCAGGGCCCCAAACCCCAGCCAGCACCCCTGGGTATCACCTCTTCCTCCCGCTCAGGACGGACGCCCAGCCCTGACCCCCTACCCCGCCCAGGGAGACACTGCAGGGACCATCCTTCCCCACTCTGCCACCAGACTGTGTGCCTGAGCTGTGCTGCTATCGCCAGCACCTCCCCTCCATCTCTGCAGGGAGGGAACATGCCCCCACCCTGACTCCCTGCAGCAGTCACCCCCCCCCAACCTCATCTGACAGAGGCCAGAGGGGCCACCACGAAGACCGCCACGTTTCTATGTCCAGCACGGACCTTCCCCCAAGCCCTGCAAGTCCAGCTGCCCACTGCCTGCAGGTCCCAAAGGCATCTGACACTCCACACGCCCCAGGGCAGATCTGAGGTCCTCCCCCAACCAGAACCTATGAAGTCACTCTCAACACCGCCTCATCCTCCCTTCTCCAAAGTCAATCTACCACCATTTTACCTCCTGATTCCTTTCTCAGATTCACACACTTCTGTCTCCTCTACCGTCATCCTGGTCTAACCCATCCTCATTTCTCACTGGGACCAGTGTACAAATCCCTCCTGTCTACTCAGGCCCATCTCTAACCTCTGGCCAGTAAGCAGCCAGAGAGCCAACATGGCCACAACCCCACATAGAACTTGGGCTTCTTTGCTTTTCCAGCATCTTTGCCCTGGGTCCACAGGCAATGCATGGTCTGGCCCTGCTGATACCCTTGCCTGGAGCTAGTCTTGCCTTATCCACTGTACTCCAGCCATACTGGCCTTCCCTTAGTTCTGGAACACACCATGCTCCCTCCTACCCCAGGGCCTTTGCACAGTCAGCTCTCACTCTGGCTGGAGTGCTTTTCCCTTGTCAGGAAGATGAGAGCGTAGAAATCTATGTCTACGAGAGTCACAGCAACACCCATACTCATGACCACCCAGGAAGCAGGGGGGGATCCTTGAGGATAAAGCAAAGAATCAGTGATGCTATGGGGCGAGAAGACTTAAGACCACCCTGACAAGTGGGGAAAATAGATGGTTTCCTCTTGGGTCACGGTCTAGCTAGGTCACCATCTCCTGGGACAACCCCTGATTTTTTTTTTCTAAGCAGGGAAATACATTCTTGACTTGCCCATATGACTATCTTAGCCCAGGGAAGGCTGAGGAATGAGCAGGAGAAGCTGTCATGGTATTTTCAGCTCAGACCTATGGAGGAGCCTGATTTTTTCTTTTGGATCACACTCCTTGGGGACTTCCTCATTTCTCTTCATTGGCATTCAGTGATAAACAGGGCTGATGGACTAACTCAATACTCATGGACGAGTGCCCTCTGCCTCAGCTCCTGACAGCTATATGACTGAGTTCTGGCCAATGAGACTTCTAAGCAGAAGTCTTAGGGAAGTTTCTGGGAAAGAAGCTGGCACCACCTTTTAAGTTTCTTCCCATCTTCAACGAGTGGAATGTCTGGAGCCATGGCAGCCGTTTTGCCACCAGGAAGTACTAAGCATAAGGAAAGGCTGCAAGGATTACAGAGGTGAGACCTTGGCTGACTTGATGGAGCCATTGATAAATAGAGAAGCCACCATCTTCCAGAATTCTTACCGTGTGTGAAACACAAAGGCATTTGCCTTAATGCAGATTTTCAGTCACTTGGAATCAAATATGTTGCTTACTGACTCAACATTGTGATGAGGATGTGAGGCAAAGTCGGAAATGCATCCTGAGCTTCAGGGAAGTAGGCTTTGGAGAAACAACAGACTGAGTCCCTCAGCAGAAGCTTTTAAAAGGAAGAGCGCTCAGGGGGATGCTAGTGCCTCAGAAAAGGAATCCCCGAAGTCAGGCTCAGGCAGTCCTCATGAGGAGCTGGGGAAGAGTCACGGAACTAATGGAGCTGCACAGGGACCTCTCAGATGAGCTTCGATCTCAAAGCCATGCCCGGGAGATGGAAGGAGGCAGTGCAATGCAGGATGAAGCCAGTAAAGAACAGGGCCCATGAGAAACCTCCCTAAACAATTCACAAGTGGCTGTAGGAGAGAGGTTTGGCTGCAGGCAGCAAACAGTCCTATTGGTAGAAGTTTGTTTGTCTTTATCAACCCCTGTCTTCATCAAAAGCATAGACAAAGCTATGTTTTTTCCAGTGGTCATGTATGGATGTGAGAGTTGGACTATAAAGAAAGCTGAGCACCGAAGAATTGATGCTTTTGAACTGTGGTGTTGGAGAAGACTCTTGAGAGTCCCTTGGACTGCAAGGAGATCCAACCAGTCCATGCTAAAGGAGATCAGTCCTGAATATTCATTGGAAGGACTGATGCTGAAGCTGAAACTCCAATACTTTGGCCACCTGATTCAAAGAACTGACTCATTGGAAAAGACCCTGATGCTGGGAAAGATTGAAGGTGGGAGGAGAAGGGGACGACAGAGGATGAGATGGTTGGATGGTATCACCGACTCGATGGACGTGAGTTTGAGTAAACTCTGGGAGCTGGTGATGGACAGGGAAGCCTGGCGTGCTGTGGTCCATGGGGTCACAAAAAGTCGGACATGACTGAGCAACTGAACTGACTGATCAGCCCCTGAGCTGCTGGCTGCTCTGCTTCATAAGGTTGTCAGTGGCCTAGGTACCTTCTCTCTTGACGCTTGGATATTCTAGGGGGTCACCTTCCTCTGCAAGGTCTGAGATGGCTGTCAATCACGAGCTGGGGGTGGGGGATGAGAGGGAGAAGGGGTGGGCACAGCACTTTCTCTGAAGGACATGACTCAGTTGCATAGATCACCTCTGCTTTCCTCCCTTTGGCTAGAACTTGCCATGTGGCCTAGCTGCAAGGGAGGCTGGAAGAGCAGCTTTACCTGGTGGTCACTGGGTCTATAAGCCTCCTCTTTCCAAGGAGGAAGCATGAACTGAACATGAGGGCAGCAGGCCGTCTCTGCCACCGCATGGGGAATCTGAGGTCTGGAGAGTGAGTCCTGGCCAAGGTGACACAGCTCTGACGGCCCGGGTCTGCCTGACATCACCGCCTGAAACTGCCCCCATGTTCTGCAGCCTCTCCTCAGGGCTGAGACCGAACTCCTGGGGGCGGCTGCCCCTGCCCCGGCTCACAGCAGCCTTGTCCTGGGACCTTTGTTTCTTTACTTAGGTCTCTGTCCCTCAACGCAGGGACAGAGGACCATAAGGGATGGAGGAACGTGACTCTCCGGGCCTGGGGAATCCTTTGACATGACGTGGGCAGGTGCAGGGGAAGAGGGTGCTGAGTTTATAAGGCAAAGCTGAAGCTGGAAAGAGTGTCATCAGATGGCCAGGGTCAGGCCTTAACCCAACTCTCCTCTTCCCTGGGGGGACTATGAGAGGCTTGCCTTAAGCCCTACCCCCACCCCATCCTGTCCCTTCTAGCCCATCATCCAGTTTTATTTTCTTTACAGTGAAATGATTATTTCATGTGAGATTATGACCTCTTATGTGCTTGCTGCTTGCTTATCATCTGCTTCCTCTAACCAGACTGTAAGCCTTGCAGGAACAGGGGTTTTGCCTCCTGTCCCCCGATGTGGCTCCAGGCATCCGGAGCTCTCCCATGGGGGCCTCATCAAAGGTCGAATCGAGCCTGGGGTGTGGGGCTCAGCTAGCCCTCGTTTTCCCCCGCTGCCCCACCCTGCCCCGCCCTGGTCTCGCACATCCCCCTGAGGAGTGCGGGGACTGGTCGGCAGGAAGGGGGGTCATGGTCAAGGGCAATGTGTATCTCCCCGAGGGGACACAGCAGGAAGGGAAAGGACTTCTTCCGAGACTGAGATGAAGTCCTTGGGTTGCAAAAGGAGCCAGGAATTCTAGGAGCTTCCCTGGCCTTGGAGGCCAAGGTCAGGGAGACCTTATTCTCTTGGGGTCTGGGGGCGCTTCCATGTGACAAATGTGAGTTTTCCCCAAATAAAGTGCACAGCTGAGGAGGGGCCCTGCTGTGTACTTCTGGTTTTGGTTCTTGAGACCTGCATTACCAGAAGCTCGGGGAGTGTTCTTCCTGGAACACTGGAAAACTCCTAGTTACCCGTGAACCCTAGCCAAAATGCCCACTCCTCTGGTCTATGCCGCTGATGGACTGTCTGCCATTCTCATCCTTTAACCCCTTTGGCTGGATCTCAGGGGTATGAATGGGGCCTTCCTTAAGCCCCGTTCAGGAGTCCCACAGCACAGCCAACATTTCCACGGGCTTCCCTGAGTGCCTTCAGACCTTCTGGGCTCACATTGCCACCCACCCAGCTTGGCCAGCCAATCCTGATGGACAGGTCTCCTCTGCCAGGGGAAGCAGGGTCTGGTACCTGCTTGTTCAGGAATAGATCCCTTCCCAAGAGGCATTCCTCTCTGCTCAGCAGGACCCCGTCCCGACTCTGGGGTTCTCTCCGGCAGCAGGCCTCCGGCACCTCGTCACTGTCCAAAGTCAGGAGTCGGAACACCGATGCATACTTAAAGTCTTCAGGCCCGTTGACTCCACAGCAACCGAACTAGGAGAGAGCGAAGAGAAGGAGGGGCGGGTAGGAGCCGCAGCCAGGTGTGAGAGTGAGGGGACTCAGGCCACTGTGCGGCAGTGTAGTGGGGCAGTCGTGACCCAGGTGGGAGCAGGCTCCAGCTGCCGCTCCTGGGCAACCACGGGAAGGCCTCTCGGCCTCTCTGAGCCTCCCGTGTCCTCATCGGTAAAATGAGAGTGGGGGTAACGGTTCCCACTTCACCGGCGCTGAGCACTCAGTGAGTAGTTGCTATGGTTACCATCACTGATGACTGTTACAATTGCTTGAGGACTCAAGACAGGGAGGGCAAACAGGTTTCACCCTGAGTTCAGACTGTGGCTGATGGGCCACGGCTGCCCGAGACGCTGTGCGGATGGATGCCGGTTCTGAGGCTGGGCCGGGGCTGGGCGGATGAGTGCCTGGTTCATTATTGACATCTGCATAGGCGCGGAGAGCAAGGCTCCGGAGGCCAGACGATGGGCCCCCTGGGCCTCAGGGCTCTGAGGGCTCAGAGCATCCCCGGGGCCACTCACTGTGATCATGACGGAGTTCCAGGTGGCGGAGAAGACGTCTGTGTCGTTGTTGCCCTGGTAATGCTTGGCAAGCTCCTTGGTGAAGAATTCACGGGTGAGCTGGAGGCAGAGGGAGGGCTGGGCTGAGGGCCATGGCAGCTTGATACGGCGGGCGCCCCCTTCCCTGGCCTCTCCACTGAGCCGCTCCGGGTGAGGATTGGGGAAGGCCTCTGGGCCCCAGTGCCAGGGACCCTCCTCCTAAGCAGCTGACTTGGGGAGGGTCCTTGGGGTCCACCCCCCACCTCTAAGGACCTGTGGCCTCCCTGCATCGTCAGATCCCCAGCATGAACACGCAGACCACCCACATAGCCCTCAGCAAGCCACCGGGGAACCTCCACTGGTACTGCAGCTCTTCCCAGAGGGTGGCGGGCCCACAGTGGGGAGCTCACCCCTCCTGCCGCTCCCTAACCCTGAGCTGTTCCTCAGACAGAACCGAGTGGATGCGCTGTGTCCTGGGCTCTGAAGAAGCCACTGTGTGTGCAGTAGGCTATCTCTGCAGAGCCGCAGTTTCCAAAGAGGCCCTTGGAAGTCGCTGCTACTTTCAAAATACTCTCCTGAGGGCTGATCACCCTGCTGCCCTCTGCAGGAAAGGGTGGGGCCCCCGGTGGTTAGAGCCTCTGGGATAAGATGGTCTCTGGGGGCAAGTGGCCCAGACTGCATCCCTGCCAGGGCCTCGTCCAGGAGGACTCTGCCCTGTTCTCCTGCTTGGTGCAGATTCTGCGTGGGGGTTGGGGGTGGGCTGCGGGATGGGCAGCCTCTCTGACTATCCCTGGACTATAAAACAATTACTGCTGGGCCAGTACTGGGCAAGGCATAGAATGGAAGATTCTAGAGTCAGGGATGGGTTGCACCAGACGTTTGGAAAGAGCGCAGACCCTTACGGGCCCTCTGACTCTGACCTTCTGGAAAACCCTTGCAGGGACAGGCTCGCAGGTTTCTTTTTGGGCTGTGGGGCTTCACTGGGGTGGTGGATTGTGATTGGAGCTGGAACCACTGGATGAGAGGACGCTGACTCTGTGAGACCCTCTGGGGACGGAGGGCTGGCCATGAATGGGCCAGGGCACACGGGGCCAGGTACGTACATTTTCCCTGAAGATGAAGGCCAGGATGGCTGCTGAGAGCTCTGCCAAGAAGATGATCAGGATGAACAAGAAGAACTGCAGAGAGAAAGGGGCAGACCTGTGAATCCTGAGGGCAGGTAGGAAGGGGACAGCTGACCGCTCTCTGAGGCACCCTTCCATCTGTCACAGGATGGCGGCAATGTACTTATTTCATAAGACTGAGGAACTTAACTGCCATAAACCAGACATTTTTCATAATAAACACCCCAACAATCCACCTTTGGAGCCAACAAGGTTGTAACACAAATATGGAACAGATAAACACACAGACATGCCTTCTGTGCAAATGGTACCCTTTAGTGGCCCCTTGTGCAGTGTGTGCTCTGAGCAACTGTACTTGGCAGCCCTTGAAGAAGATCGATGTTGAAACTTGTGTCAACCTCCCCCAGGGGGACTGTCCAAGTAGTGGGAATCCTGAAGTCCCTGGGGATCCCTGGCTGGTTGTCCCCACCCCATCAGGCCCAGGAGGCCCTCTCCCTGCCCCGCTGCCTCTCATTCCCATGGGTAGTAGGGGAAGTGACATTACTTTTCAGCTGCAATAAAGGAGCATGATTGGAGGGAAGGCGTTAGGTCTATCAAAATCTGAAAACCCAGGGGCTGGGGGTCTGGAATCTAACAGAGCCCCACTCTGTGCTACTCTCTGCATGCCTCCATGTTGCCCAAACTCACCACGACACCTCTCGCCTCGGGAACCTCACACGCTGAGCTCCCTGTATCTGGAAAGTCCTGCCGTTGCTTGCCCACCAGCACCCTGCTTTCCAGACTCGGTCCCTGGCTCCACCCACATCACAGGGCCCTGCAGAAGTGTGTACCACAGCCGCTGCATCCCCGCTGGATAACCACCATCAGCTGGGATCCAGCGGGCAGTGTTATTGATGCCTGGACAGCACCGGTGTTGCTATACGGCTCTCTGATGAGTAAATGAATCCACGAATTACCAACTCGCCATAATGACCTTGCTATCTGCTATCTCTAGGCCCTGGACATCGTGGGCACTGTTAACGGTGGATGGTTGTTGGCAGAAAAAAAGAGGAAGTGGCTGTGCCCTCATCTCTCAGCGTTGTCCCCTTGCACTGGGACAATCCTGGAGTTGTCACTCCACCTGGAGACCAGTCACCAGCAGGGCCCCAAAACCCCCGCGCACATGGACACGGCGACCCCAGGACCTGTTCCCTTGCTTGGGTCACAGTCCTTAAGTACGCACCGTGTGTGCCCAGGCTGGAAGGAAGCGAAGGGTGCTGAACTTGTCCTCAGCCCTTCAGCCCACCCTGCCTCGCTTTGAAAGTCTTAAGTCCTGGAGGGTTTTCTGGGTTCCAGGATAACAAGGTGTTAGGAGCCTGTGTTCTAGAGTCGGAGGTCCCGTGTTTATTTCCACTGTGCCACTTGCCAGCTGGGCCAGCTCCGTCAGGTTCTACTTGTCTGGGTTCCAGTTTCTCCATCAGTAGGACAAGGGTGTTGATGGTCAGCAGCTGCTTTGCCAGGCTGCCCAGAGGGTTCAATGAAATGACTCAGTGAGAGCCATGCTTAGGTGCTAAGCGCTGGATGCTTGAGGGAGTGCGAGTGCTAAGTCTCTTCAGTTGTGTCCATCTCTTTGCAACCCTATAAACTGCAGCCCACCAGGCTCCTCTGTCCATGGGATTGTCTCCAGGCAAGAATACTGGACTGGGTTGTCACGCCCTCCTCCAGGGGATCTTCCTGACCCAGGGATTGAACCCGTGTGTCTTAAACCTCCTGCATTGGCAAGCAGGTTCTTTAACAGTAGTGCTACCCAGGAAGCCCCAGGCGCTGGATAGATGATAGTTATCATGCTTTTTCCAGAGATCGCCCATGCCCGGGCTTGTCTCCCGGAAGGCCACGCTTGCTCTTGGTTCTGAGCCACCATCTGAGCCATCCTCACATTGGGCATGGCGCATCACCTGCATTATCTCACTGATTCGGTGCTAAGTCCCCCGGAAAGTGCACGCACGCTCCCAGAGTGATGAGCACACGGAGTTCACGAGCTCCGTCTCATCCATAGTTTATAACTGCCTAAGCCGAGATCGATAGGCAGAGACAGCTCAGTCACATCGCTGGGGTGGAAACTATTTCCGAGGCTGCTGTTTGCCAGCCTGAGGACTGCCAGCAACTCCACCGAGAGGGCAGAGGGCAGGGCGGGGCTCCGTGGAGGCCTTGTGAAACAGAACCGGATGACCATCTGTCACCAGCCAAATGGAGATGCCAGGAGCCCTGCCAGGGCCCTTCATCACTGTCACAGGGATGAGAGGCTGCAGAGGTGGGGAACATACCTCTTAACCCAAGGACCAGCTCTTGGAAGTGGAAGGGGATGGGATGGACACTGTGGCCACAGGCAGTCTGCCCAGGGCACAGGAGATCTGTCACCTTCTGGTTGGGGAGCTGTACCTCCCAACTTCAGTCCAAGATCACCCCACACAGCTGACTGCAGTGAGGCTTACTGCAGGTCTGGTTCCTGACCCGTCGGAACCAGAGCCCCAGGTTTTAAGACTCAGATGGCCTGCAGGGTCTCTTGTGGATCAACAACAATCGTTTTGTTTTCAGTTTATCAAACGCTTATATGTGCCAGGAACAGAGTTACGCAAGATGTACATTTTCTTAATGAATGATGATCACAATATTATGGCAGGTAAGGAGGTATTATTATCTCCAGTTTACAGATGAGGAATCTGAAGTTCAGAGAGGTTAAGTAACTGACCCCAGGTCACACAGCCAGGAAGTGGCACAGAGGGATAAGAACCAGGCTTTTCTGACTCCAAAGGCCACGCTCTGACCCACACCTCCTCCCTATTCCTTCGGTCCAGGCCTGTTTACTGAGCATATACTCTGTGCCAGGTACTGTGCTAGGTGGTTGTTGTTTAGTTGCTAAGCCGTGTCCAACTCTTCTGCAATCCCATGAACTGTAGCCTGCCAGGCTCCTCTGTCCCTGGGACTTCCCAGGCAAGAATACTGGAGTGAGTTGCCACTTCCTTCTCCAGGGGATCTTCCTGATTCAGGGATCAAACCCTTGTCTGCTGCATTGGCAGGTGGATTCTTTATCACTCTGAGCCATCCGGGAAGTCCACTGCGCTAAGTACCGATAAACACACACAAGGGTGATGTGATCCCCACTCTGATGGAGTTTCCACTGAGCCAAGATTCATGATCCATGAAATGAAATTCACGAGATGAAAAGCATAAGAGTCATGAGATGAAATGAAAGAATAAATCTGTAACTCATTGATGGGGAAAGCAGGTCTCCCCAGAGGAAGAGGGTCTGTAGATCTCCTGGCCATTGTTCCCGCCTGAAGCAGGGCCTCCCCAAAGCCTGGGCACGGAGGTGGTGACAGGAGTGTGTCAGTCACCTGGAGGAAAGTGCAGGGCTGTGGGGTCAACATCAGTAACAAGATCACTTCTGCCCACGTCTCCAGCATGAAACAACTGCCTCCTGCTTGATGAGATTACTACTGGTTATTTGAAGGGGGATCCCACCTGGACCCAGCCACAGGGCTGATGCTTTCTGGGGCTCCCCCAAACCAGGGCCTTTCCCAGAGTGTCAGTCTTGAGTTATCTGACCTCATCCCATTTGCCTAAGGGCATATTTGCCAGTAATTCCTCAACATCAAATTTACAACACTTTGCTTAGGATCAGACGATTAATAAAGGGGTAAAAACTGCTATTTTGCCTACTTGTGAGCATTTCCAGACTTTTCTAACCCATCTGCCTACAATACATCTGCTTTTCGTTCTCATTTCTAATAATATTTACCAAATTTACATACTTGATGTACAATTCAGCTTGTTTTATCGCTTTTAAATTATACTCTTCCCTTTTTGCTGTTCTCTTTTCCAATTTAACATGTCTTGGTTATAAAATATTTTTAAAATGTGAAGTTTTCAATAAACGGGTTAAAAACATTCCTTGAACTGTTTATAGGTAAGCAGATAGGCAAAAAGGGATGCCACAAAATATCACAAATAGGCTGAAGTTGTCCTGTGGTCCATGAAAATGCTCTAGAATTGATCAACAGGACTGTTTGGAAAATTTTTTTGAGAAAAGTAGGTCATTAGGTGATATTATTCCTGGGCTAAGGGTCACTGGGACCCCTCAGGGCTTAGCCTCCGAGCAGGGGCAGGGGTCACCCAGGTGACCTCCATCCTCAGGCCTCCTCTCTCTGTGGACCTTTGAGCTCCAGTTCCAGAGGGGACTGAAGTCATTCTCTCTTGGCTTCTCCCAAGACTAATCTTGACTTCTTCACTGAAGTGTGACGAGGCAGCTCAGGCTTCTTTAACGACCAAGGAGCGGTGAGACTTGGTGTTGGAACCACCCTGCAAGGCCGAATCCAGGTTGGAAAAGAAAATGGTTCTTCATAGTTTTCAGATCATGAATCTTTCTGAAAAGCTTCCAGAAGCTGTGGGGGCCCCAGAAAGACGCAAGTATGCACACCACACCCACACAGACCACACATGTTATAGGCACACACACATAATATTTTGCATATAATTTTGGTTGCGCTTTGAACCACTTGAGTTCATTCCAGGTTAGGAGCCCCTGGACCAGCCCCTCTGAGACAGCGGACCCGGGTCCCAGCGTCCGCTGCCTTTGACCTGTGACGTCAGGGTCGTGTGCCTTAGGCTTGGGACAGAGAGGAAAGCGGAGGGGACAGGACGAGCGGGAAGGGGAGGAGGAGAGGGGGCTTAGAAGAAATCAAGGAAGTGGGGACACCGGGGAGGGGGCAGAGAGAAGGGGGCATCCAGGAGAAGGAAAGGCAGCAGGACAGAAACCAGGATCAAGAGGAAGGCAGAGAGAGACAGGGAGACAGAGGCAGGGGAAGCGGGAGAAAAGGAGGGGACAAGAAGGCAGGGTGAGACCGAAGGGAGACCAAAGAGAAGGCGGCGGCGAGAGGGGGCACTTTCAGGTTTGGTGGGCAGACCGGCCACAGCCAGGACTTAGGTCTCTCTCCGGGGAGAGTTGCAGCCAGTCCCCTCCTGGGCCTCGGCCTTCTCCCCTAGGCACTGGGGAGAGCGATGCCTCGTCCAGCTGGCCGGCTCTGAAGGGGCCACTTAGCTGGAGAGGGCTTGCAAGGCCCCCAGCTTGCTCCTGGCCCAGAGCTCCAGCCTGGTTTCTGTCTTGGCTTCGGAGATGAGCCCGTTCATGCTGGAGGAGCCCCAGGCACCGAGGTGCAGGATGGGCGGGGGAGGGTGGGTTTGGTGTGTCCTGGGACCCCTACTCAGCTCCTTTCAGAGTCCCAGGCTCCCCAAGGCCAGACCGCCGGCACCATCGGACACTGCACAGAGGTGTCCGCCAGGGGGCGCCAGACGCCTCGCGAGGCCGCTTCGCGGACCGGCCCGCGCCTCCCTCTCACTTAACCCGCCGGCTCACTGGCGAGGCGCGTCTGCAAGTTGGCCCAGCCACTGGGCCAAGCTGGGCTGTTTTTAACTTCCCCTCCGGCAAGATTGCGCTCAACCCAGTTTTCCTAACCCTGAAGGCACAGGACCTGGGAGGCGAGGAAGCCCCATCACCAAGGCCAGACCAGTAAGGAGAGAAAGGGCCACAGCTCATGTGAATACAGAAGACCCAACAAACCCGACATCCACTGCAGGTCTCCTTTGACTCCCGTCTACAGCCGAGCGAGTTGGCCTCTCGCTTCAGCAGCTCAGGGAGGTTAGGAAACTAAACCAGAGTCACACTGTTTGTTATGAGACAGAGTCCCACACACAAACCCAGCTCATCCTCCTGGGCTCGCCTGACCCCACCCCCCAATACTATGGATGGTCACTTAGCCCTGGATGCACCTATAGCACGAGTGAACCACGTGGCCTGTGACAGCAGGTCGAAGACCATTCATTTAATGAATAGAGGACCTACCGAGATCATGTCACTTCCATTTCAGAAGTGGAAATGTGAAAGCTGGATGATTTATCTGATAGTGATCTTTGCTTTTTTATCACGGACCTATATATTTGAATTCTTAGAAGCAAGTCGAAAAGCATCATGAGTCAGTGTTCTCAGCTGACCCTGCTGTGGGGAAGCCTGGCCGTTCGGACCTGGAGACCGAGGCCACCGCGCGCCTGGGGGCGGCTCGACCAGGCGGCAGGCACGGGGCCAGCACGGACGCATATGGCAAGGGTTGGTGGCTCTCCTGCTCCTGGAGGCCAGCCTACCTGGTTCAGACCCCAGTGGACAGCCTACCTGGCTCAGACCTCAGTGTGAGTCCCCCCTGGTGTGGATGCAGGCCTCTATCCACCCCCCACCCCCAACCAGGGCACCCATGGGTGGGGTGGGGGATGGGATACTCACGAACAGCAGCAGACACTTGTTCTCCCGGACGGCTCCGCAGCAGCCCAGGAAGCCGAGCAGAAAAAGCAGGCCCCCCATGGCCAGGAGGATGTAGGCGCCCGTGATGAGCAGGGGGTTGGCGGCCACGATCTCCCGGAAGCCGGTGGGGTCCACCATGACCCAGATGCCGATGCCCAGCAAGCAGGCTCCGCCCAGCTGTTCCCCAGGGCCAGGAAGGAGCGTGGAGAAGACACGGGGAGACACCACGGTTAGACACTCCACACACACACACCAGTTCCCTGCTCGAGGCCCTGGGGTGGAGGTGCTGAGTGAGCTGGGAAGAAACTCCAACTGTGTTTTCCTCTGCTTTGAATTTCCCTTCTTAACTCTGACCTAGTGTGCATCAGGCACCCTCCAGAGCCTGTCTCTGGCCGACACTCTACTTTGGGCTGCGGGGAACCACGTCCTGTAGAGTCTATCTGCCACTTTCATGTTCCTTAAGTGTTAGAGCCACTGAGGTCATTCAGTCCAACCCCCTGATTCCACGCTGAGCCCCAGAGGGGGCCAACGATTTGCCGAAGGTCACGTAGTAGGTTCATAGCAGAGCCAGGGCTGAGCCCCAGGTCCCCCTGACTCCAGCCCCAAGACCCTCCCCAAGTTTATGAAGATGCTCTGACACCTATGCTGGGAAAACACAGACGGAAGCCATCCTCTGTCCTCACAGGAGCTCTCAGTTGGGGCGGGCTCCCCACTCTCAAATCCGCTCCTAGAAAGCCTTCTTGTTCATGACTTCATCTCCAGGGTCCACCTCTCCACGCCTTATTTATCCTTATTTATCTCTCGAGAGAGGTAGCTTAGTCCAGAGAAAGGGCTGTGCCACGTATTAGCTGTGAGACCTTGGTAAAGTGCCTTAACCTCTCTGAGCCCTAGCTTCCTCATGGTTAAACGAAGATACTGTTTCCCACTTCCCAAGGACTTGAAGGTGCCTAGCAGTGTTCAGTAGACATCCGTTCCATTGGTCTTGGGCACAGACCAGTCTCTTGGAAACAGACCTGTTGCAGGAGAAATCATTGGGCATCATGGATTTTAAAGACTGGGAAGTGCTTGAAATCCCCGCGTGGTGGGAAGACCCGAGGAATGATGCAAAATGACACAAAACTGCCGGCTCACAGACAGGGTCTGTAAACAGCGGGGGAAGAGCTGGATGGTTTGGGGCAAAAGACGGTCGTTTCAGGTGCAGCGGGGGGAGGGTTGGGGCGCAGAGGCCCGGGGGACCAGGCACAGCCAACAGCAGAAGCAACGTTTTGCCGTCTGCTGTGCCCTGCCTTTCTCCCTGGTTTCCCCACAAAACCTCCAGGAAAACCCGTGTCCCCTCCTCACGGCTGCTGGAGGTTTGGGAGTTTTAGCAATTGTGTGCTGAGTTCTGCTTCGAGGGGGGCTCAGGCACAAACTGAGCGGCCCAGGGTCATCCCACTTGGAAGTTGGGTCTAGAATTCAAGACTGTGGGGTTGCCTGCTCTTCAGAATTAGGGGCAGGGGAGGGGAATCCAGGAATGTTGCTGAAGTGTACACAGAATAGATGGAGACAGACAGACAGACAGATGGAGTCAGTCTTGACCAGAAGGGGCCTCTCCTTCCTAGGGATCCTGCCCTGGCGGACTTCAGTGGCTATTTACTCATCCAGGTCTTGGCTGCACTAAGGTCAAAGGTTGAGGTGGGGTCATGTGACGAGCGCGGCTCTGCTCCTGGGAAGAGGCCAGAGGTCTGAGCAGAGCAGGTGGGCAGGGTTGCACGGCGCTGGGCTGACCCCCTGGGCCCTCGGGGCCTCTGTTCTTTCCTGTATAGAATCCATAAGTTGGATGGGGATGGAGCCGATACATTCCAGGCACTTCCTAAACTAATCTTGCTTCATTGTCAAAGAATCTGTTGAGGTAGAAGATTAAGGGATGAGGATACTGAGGTTCAGGGAGGCGGCATGTGTTTTGGACGACATCGCGGGTGCGGTGCAGAGTCGGGCTGTGAACCCAGGTGTCTCAGTCCCGGGGAGGCCTCAGACCGCGCCAGGTGGCTACGTCCGCTCTGCTCCGCAGCCCACAACTGCTCAGCGGGTCAGGGCTGGTGGCGGCTCCTGCTACCCCCTGATCATCTCCACCTTCCCTTTCACCTCAGCTCCTTACGAGGGGTCAGACCCCAGGGTAGTAGCCGGGGCTAAAGCCTCTGCCCCTTTCTTTTAGAACAGCTGAACTATCCCGGGGCCGTGCACAATGTCTCTCCTGTGATGGCGGGCTCTCCGAGTGGGGTGGGCACTACTCAGGGTCTCCCCACCACGAACCCCCCGCCAGAGGTAGGGCAGCTTCTAGCGCTGGCCCTGGGCCTCAGCCCCACGTGACTCTCAGCAAGCAGCAGTCAGTTTCCCCCCACCCCACAGAGGCCGGGGGAGAACCCCAGACACGTTCCAGGAATACTCACAAATATGAAGAAATTGAACACAAACATCAGATACTTCATGCAGCTCAGACAGTCTCCTTCCATGGTGATCCCCCTGCAAAATGGCAAGGCCCCTTCAGTCCTCTTGCTGGGGGACCCCATCCAGAAAGAACCCGTGCCCATCCTCTGCCTCCTCCCCCTTGGGGTGTCCCACTGGCCAGCCTGCCTCTGGAGCTGAGAGGGGAAGAGAACAGTTGATCACAGTTTCCTCATCACAGGGCTCTGCCCTGGGGGGTGCTGGAGTTAGGAGTGAGGACTTGTGAGCCAGCCAGCCTGGGTTTTCCATTCCTGTGCTGTGTTGTCTCAGGCAAACGGGGTCTTCCCAGGTGGCGCTCGTGGTAAAGAACCCACCTGCCAAAGCAGGAGACGTAAGAGATGCAGGTTCGATCCCTGGGTTGGAAAGATCCCCTGGAGGAGGGCAGGGCAACCCACTCCAGTATTCTTGCCTGGAGAATCCCATGGACAGAGGACCCTGGCAGACTATGGTGCATAGGGTTGCAAAGAGTCAGCCACGGCTGGAGTGACTTAGCACGCACGCATGCACTCAGGCAGATAACTCCACCTCTCTGAGTCCTGCTCGCTCCAAGTTGAAAAGAGAGATTAAAAACAGAAGCTTCCTCCCCAGTGGTACTGGGGGGATTAACTGGAATAATGCATAAACATGCTTAGCACCACGTGGCGGACTCTCAGAGATATGATGTCATGATGTTACTTGATTGCAGGCGTGAGCAATGCAATCTGTTTGATAGATGAGAAACTAAGGCTCAGAGCTGTGAGGGGCTTGTGGAGGTCATGGAGCAGGATCAGGACCCAGGCCTGACAAACTTCCTACCACCCCACATGCCCTCTGACCAGAAGGACCTGCCCAGAGGGGGTGTTGCACGGAAAGAGTTGCTGGCACCTCCTGGGGCCTCAAGCCCCCAGACACTCCCCTAACCCTGACCACCTCCATCATGAGACCGACCACATCCCACCTTCCCCTGGAGCCTCCCTGGTCCCTATGGACTCTTAAGTATGTCCATGGTAGCGGGACAGACCACTGAATACAGTTCTATTCTGCCAGCATTTATTGTGCAATGACTTGATGCCAGGCACTGCAGCTTGAAAACAAGCCTTCCCCTGTGCCCGGGGGAAGCAGATGGCATCCACTATCACAAGTCAGCCTTCAAAGTGCACATAAGCCATGGTCATGTTCAGTACACCACATTCAGTATTCCCACACTTTCTTTCTGACAGTCCTGGGGAGAAGATGGCAGGTCCAGGAGGATCCCTGGTCCAGGCCCTGTCCTCTCAGCAGCCCGCGGAAGGCTGAGACGCAGTGGGCACCTGTGGGTATGGAAGGCCTGTGTAGCATCTCCAGGTCCACGCCATGCACATCAGTTGTTAAACCATCGTCCCTGCCAATGGCTCATCCTTGTCTCTTGCATCGTCTCCAAGCCCAGGCTCTCTACCTCCAGAACAGGTCCCCAGACCAAGCCAGCCACCCTCCTCCAACTCCTCCATCTCTGACCTTCTAGAAGCAGCATCTAACCTGCATCTAAACGGGACAGTCCCAAGCGGGGTCTCTGAAGTCAGACACACCTGGGCTCTGATCCTGGCTCTTCACACCTCTCTACCTCTGTGTCTGGTAAATGATGTAACCTCTTAGAGCCTCCGTTTCTTCATCCATGAAAGTGGGTGTTTAGGACCTACATCGTGGCACGTTGTGAGGATTAAATGAGACATCCTATGTCAGGGCTCCCCACAGAGCCTGCTTCAGCATGGGGTGGACAGCTCTTACTAGGAAGACACCTAACTTGATAGTCACAGGTGACTCACTGGGCTCTTGTGGCCCATGAGATCAGGACCCCAGGATAATGACCTGCACCCAGGCACTGCATGCTGACCCTTCTCCCTCGGGCACTTGGCCGATGCAACTCCACACGTCTGCTGAGACCCCGTGCTCCTTGGACATGGGGAAGAAGACAGGAAAGAGCAGTCAGTGAAGACGGATTCCTTGCCAGCCATATGCCAGCTCCAGGACGTGACTGTCCTGAATCTTTCCATAGTGTCATAGGCAGGAAACACCATGTTCATTTCATAGGTGAGGACACTGAGGCTCAGGGCGTGAGGCGGCCTGCTCAGCCTCCTGGAGCTTGTGAGCGGGCCCCTCAGCCCAGTCCACATGCTGCGCTCTCCCTGCCCCAGGGGCCGGTGGCGGCAGACGGAGGGCAGAAGGAGCCCTGGACGGGGAGCCGGGAGCCCCAAGTCCAGCCCCAAGTCACTTCTCTGCAGCCTCAGCGTCTCCATCTGCAAAATGATGGAGAAGGGATTTGACGGCCTGTGAGCTCCTGCCATCAGGTTCGGACTTGGACTGGCCTTTGGAGGGCAGGAGGGACCGCCCCTGTGAGATGCTGAGAGTCTGCAGGAGGCGGGGGGCCCCCTCCTTGGCCCACCCAGGCAAAGCCGAGTCCCCAGGGTCGGATCTGGCTTCAGCTGGCTCTGACTCTTTGGCAATTAAGGGGCACAATAAACATAGCAGCTCATAAACGGGCTACCTGTATTTATTATGCATCACGTTCATTAGAGATTACATCTAATGGGCAGCTTGTGCAGTGCTGGGCTCCCAGATGAATGCAATAAAAGAGGGCGTGTCTACTGGGAAGAGCCTCTGGCCAAGGTGAGGAAGGGAGAGATGATGTGAGCTGGAGGGCGGATGGAGGCAGGGGGCCTGGGCCCAGCTCCAGGGCAGGGAACCGAGTGGACAGAGGGCTTGGGAGCCTGACGGAGGACCACACCCCTGCTCAGCAGGCTCAGCTGGTAGCCTCGAGCAAGTTCTTGTACTGCGTGCATCTGAGTTTCCTCGTCTTCAAAATTAGTATAAAAATAATGCCTTCCTGATAATGGATGGAAAATACGGAGCACAGAGCTTGGTGCAAGGTAGATGGTAACAGCAACAGTGAGTAACATCCGGCTCCCCTTGAGTCTTACTATGTGCCAAGGAACATGCACAACCTCATTTAGTCTTCCTGAAGCTCCTGGAGGTAGGTAATGTCATTACCCTTGTTTCAGGTGAGGGAATTAAGCCTCGGAGGAATCACTTGTCTAAGGTCACACAGCATGGAAATGCCCGAGCCAGGATTTGAACCCAGGTCTGTCTTAATCTAGAACCACAACTCTTTATTTTTTTTAATTAAAAGTTAATTTTTATTTATTTGGCTCTAGTTGCAGCATGTGGCATCTTTTATTCACGGCATGCAGACCCTCAGTCGTGGTATGTGGGATCCTGTTCCCTGACCAGGGATGGAATCTGGAACCCTGCATTGGAAACGTGAAGTCCTGGTTACTGGAAGACCAGGAAAGTCCCTGGAACCACAGCTCTTAATCCTCGTTTTCAATGAATGCTAATTCCCTTGCCCCATTCACCCATTTTCCTCTAAAATTCAGGCCTGTCTTCACACCTCCTCTGCCAAGTACTCAGTCATGTCCAACTCTTTTGTGACCCCCATGGACTGTAGCCCGCCAGGCTCCTCTGTCCATGAGATTTCCCAGGCAAAAATACTGGAGCAAGTTGCCATTTTGTACACCAGGCAATCTTCCTGATCCAGGGATCGAACCCGTGTCTCTTGTGGTTCTCACACTGGGTTCCTCTAGGCTAGCAATCTCCTAGAGTCATTTTCAGGATTTGAGGTAACATCTCAGAAATCATCCCCTCACCACCGGCTAACTCATGGGGCAAGTGTCTTTGGTTTTGGAGCAAGTCAACCACCCAGGTTGGGAACCCTATTACCAGGTTGTTCAGAAGTCCTAACTACCACGTACATATGAGGCCGCAGTAGAAAGAAACATACTTGGTAAATGATGACTTGGTAAAGGCAGTGCTGTTTGGCCAAAAAAGTCCTTTAAATCTTGGGGCTTAAAAAGATGAAATGCAAGAGTCAGTATCACAGGCAAAGTTGACCTTGTGTTGCGTGGTCAGCTGTTCAGTCGTGTCCAACTCTTCACAACATCATGGACCGTAGCCCACCATGCTCCTCTGTCCCTGGGACTGTAGCCCACCAGGCTCCGCCATCCCTGGGATTCTCCAAGCAAGAATACTGGAGCGGGTTGCCATTTCCTTCTCCAGTCTCCTGCATTGGTAGGCAGATTCTTTTCCACTGCACCACTCATGAACTCAAATCTCACAGGTGCTGGGAAGGCACTTGAGGTTTGTGGATCCGGCTGCCCTTCCACGCGGGCGCCCGCTCCAGGGTGAGCCTGAGTGGGAGCTGTGGACTTGTGGCCATGGCTCTCATAGTCTCAAGTCTCGTGTGCCTGTTACCGCGCCCCCTGCTCCCGGACACTGAGGCTTCCCTGCTCACAGATGGGTGTTTTATGATTCAATGTGACCCTGGATGCAACGGGCTGTTTCATGTATAACAAAGCCAAAGGTGTTTATGGACTTGAAGGGGAACTATAATGTGACACTTCTGTCTGTGTAATAACTGATTTAGAGTCCAGTCTTTGTATAACTTATGTCACCGTGGAAATGGAAAAACAGGTTTCAAAAGGGAAAGGAGGTGTAGCTAAGTTACAAAGTCAATTAGTGAGGGATCTGGGCCTGGGGAGACCTGTTTCTTAAAGCCTAGGCCAGTGCCCTGCGGCTAGTCTCAATATTTTACTTATTTCTTTTGGTAGCACACACCTTCCCCTGTTAGAATGCATGCTGAGAAAGGCGTGGACTTGTTTTGCTCACTGCCATGTTCCTAGTGTCCAGAGCAGTGCCTGGCACTGTGGGTCCTCAGTTTCTCTGTCTGGATGAAAGAATGAATGGAGAGCGGGAAAAGAGAAGATGGACACAGAGAATAGAGACTCAGTAAATCAGAGAGAGAGGCAAAGTCAGAAAGAGAGGGGAAGATGGAGAAAGACACGGTGAGATTCGGGGAACGAGAGATGGCAGGCGGGGGATCTGGGAAAGGACAGGCTGAGATCTTCTGGGGAGACGGGGTGGAGTCGGGGATACGGCAGGTGCAGGGAGGGGGCGCGGCGAGCAATTACTGACTTTTCTCCTGGACAGTTCTTCTGAC